AAAAAAAAAAAAAAAAAGAAATGACCATGTGTCAATATTGGGTGTAGTATCAAAGAAGAACATACACAGTTATCTGAAAAGGCTATTAGAATATTTCTTCCTTTTCCAACTGTGTACCTCTGAGGCCAGATTTTCTTCATATGCTTTAACCAGAACAACATTGCAACACATTGAATACAAAAGTAGATATGAGACTGTCTTCTATTAAGCCAGATGGTAAAGATTTGCAAAAATGAAACAATGCCACTCTTAATAAATTTTTTGGGTTTTTTGTTACTTTTCGTTTAAAGTACGTTATTTATGTTAAAGCATTTAGTTTATTGTTGAATTAATATTAAATATTTTTTAAAATTTCTAATACATCAATATTCATAGATAATTCACAAGTGAACTTGCCATTTCAAGGAAAACAGACTTGCCAATATTTCATTTGCATTTTCAAGTAAAAAAGAGCTGGAGGGCCGGCCCCTTGGCTTAGCGGTTGAGTGCGCGCGCTCCGCTGCTGGCGGCCCGGGTTCGGGTCCCAGGCGCGCACCGACGCACTGCTTCTCTGGCCATGCTGGGGCCGCCTCCCACATGCAGCAGCTGGAAGGATGTGCAACTATGACATACAACGATCTACTGGGGCTTTGGGGAAAAAATAAATAAAATTAGAAAAAAAAAAAGAGTTGGAAAACTTAACATCCACCACCATTAGGAGATTAAAAAGTTCTTTGGGAGTCTCGATTTTAGGTGTAAAGTAGGAGTTGGTGAACTTTCTCTAAAGGACCAGATAAGTAAATATTTTAGGCTTTGTAGGCTATATGATCTCTGTTACAACTATTCAATTCTGCCATTGTAGCGCAGAAGCAGCTGTAGACGACACAAATGAGTGTGACTATCTTCCAATAAAACTTTCATAACAGAAATAGGTGGCAGGCTACATTTGGCCCATGGCCTGTCATTTGCCAACCCCTAAGGGGCTCTAAGACAAAAAAATTGAGAACTGCACTAGACTAACAACTAGATGGTATAATAGATTTTAAGATAACCTTTCAATTATAACTAGATTTTAAAGAAGTTAACCTAATGGGAAAAGCTCAGCAAACTAATGTCATTTCTTTAAACAAATGGCTTAAATAGACATTGTGTTCATAGATGGTATGACGTTATAAAAATGCCAATTGTCCCCAAATTAATTTCTGATTCAATATAATTCCAATTAATATTCCAGCAGGATTGGAGGAGAGTAGAAAAACTGCTTATAAAATAAGTCAGTATGGAAATTATGAATTTCTAAAACAATTCTAAAAACAAAGATCAAAGAGGAACTCTCGATGAGATATTGTCACACCATAAGCCATAGTAATAAATAATAGATGCAGTAACAGACAAGATCAGAATAGAGAACTCAGAATTAAGCCCATGTACATATGGGAATGTGCTATATGATAAAAGTGGTTTCAAAGTTGTTGGGGGAAGGATAGATTATTTAATAGATGGTACTGGGAAAACTATACAGAGGA